AACTATTTGCCCCTCCACCCCCTTCATGTAAGTGGAAAGCCAGTCCTCACTCAGTCTGTATTTCATTTCTCACTCAAGCACTGGAACATACTTCAGTAACACTATTCCTATCCTTAACATGAAGGATATTATACAGCCTTGGTTTTAGCTTTCAGCAGACATGGGATTAGTTTTCAGTTTGTTACCACATACCAACTATGCTGAGCATCATTATAAATGGTCTGTCGAGGCCTTAAGGAAAACACCCCTGGCAAGAAGTTACTTCAAGAAGCTCTAACAAAATCATTTAGTAAAAAGCAGCAGTGTGACCTGAACGACAAACTAAGACAGACATGATTGAGGTAGCTTCACATTATAGGACCTTCTGGTAGTAAATTCCTTTTTGCAACACTTGGCTTCTGATAAAATAGTTAAATGCATCTCAATTAACTGCTAACTTCATCAGACTGGAATAGAAAAACTTATGCTGCACTTGGCTCTTTCATTGCTGACAGTGTTCCATCATTTTTGTACTATCTAGCAAAAAGGAACCAGTAAGCTGTAAGCATGAGTCATTACTTCAGAGAGATGCAGGTCACCAGGTATCAAGATATCCTTACAAGACTTTTCTTTGTGGATCTGGAAGTTCAGGTTGCAAAAGGGCCAACAGTTGAGTGGCAGATGGAGACTGGAAACTAGAATCATCATGATTGACCTTGAGAGTTTTGACTCAGTCATGTGTCTACTTACAACTTTATCGATATGAGGTCCAAGTATTATGGAACAAATATCTACTGCTACAAAAGATCGGGGTGCATCTAAATTGGTGTCTAAGCAAGCTGGTGAGGTAGCCCTCCCCTCCCCGTGCACTGCACTTTGGTTACCGTCACAGCAGGCAGAAGCAAGCTTACAGCCAAAACTGAGCTGAAGGACTCCCCCGCAGCAGGGAACAGGCATCCAGTCTTGGTAGCAGACTGTAGCTTGCCTGAAGTGAGCCCAAGAAGCTCAGACATGTCCTCGACACCATTTTGCTCTGCAGAGTCACTATTATGCCACAGTACTTGATAGACACAGGCGTTAGCCCTCCATTTTTTTTTTCACTAGAAGCTTCATGAACGTGAAGTGGTGTATATTTAAACTGCACCAATACCATTCACACAGCTGGGGGATGAAGATCACACACAGTTTTAATGAGCCAAGAACTGGGTTTCTACTTTCGTTAAGGGGATTAACATTATAAAAACAATTATAAATCATGCACTATTCTAGAGAGGTGGAAACATGACAATTTATACAGCTATTATTCAGTTTTACTATCCCCAACAAGCCTATCTGGAACTCTTCTGGAATAAGTCCACCTCCAAGGACAACCCTTCCCACTCTCCAAGCTCTCCTGCCAGGAGAGGCCAAAGGTTCTTGTTTATTCCAATAAGAGAGACATCTCCTTCTAGAAGAATCCAAGGAAACAAATATAGAGATAGGTAAGATTTCCTGACTCCTGCAGGGCTACTCAGACTTTTCAACCATAAACGTTCAGTGGATCACCCTATTGAAACAAGCTTCTTCCACCATGACCTATGCCAAGACAATTCCTGAACCTCCGGCGCGCACAGCAGGGGCAGAACAGCAGAACCCAGCAAAGCCCACACCAACAAACAGAATACCCAGGTCCTCCAAAGACATACCGCATCATTGTGGTGGTGGATGAGGCTTAAGTGTATGATGTTTACTTACTGTTTGTCTGGCAGTTTTCTAAGATTTTGATACAAGTCTCAAAAGTAGAACTGATTTTTTAGTATTTTTTTCCATTTCCTCTTCCCCGTTTTTATAACTGTGTATTGACCAGTTGCTCTTGTAACTTCCACCGAATGTTTAAAGTCAGTGCCTGTCAGCAGATAAGACCACTCTGCTTTATTCTAATCATCTCCTCCCTATTACGCAGGGCAGGAAGAGCAGCAAAGCCTTATATTCAGAGCAAGGAGTGCCATCTAAAGGCTGCTTGCATTACTGCAGGCAGCTAAAACCAAGTGTATTTATTAAAACTGAAACAAGTTAGATGCTTGGCTTTTACAGGAAGGGATTTTCTTGACTTGATGCCTAGTATCACCATGAAACTGCATCCCAATCATAACATAAAATTCCTAAGGTGTACAGTACATAATCTGCAAAAAACCCGAGAATGAGGTGGAGCACAAATCCTAACTGCAACATAGTTGCGAATTTCAGCTGTAACCTTGAAATTCGGCTAGACCCCCATACATTAGTGTAATAATAAAAGCCTCATTTATCAAAACATTTTGTTTGACCCACCCTCTGGAAATGTCTTCAGGAAGACGTCTTTGTTCTGTGTACAATTAACAGTGTCCTAAATAAATCTTTGTTAAGTCCAGTATGTTTGTTATGGTACCTCTGTAAATTAAGAATGTATTTAACCAATAAAATTTTTTATAATTAAGTCATGATGGCATTTTTATTGTCTTATGCTGTGGAGGGCTGAGCTCTCCACTTGACATGACAGTTTTATGGATCTCATTCTGCTTATATATCTAACCCAACAGCAAAAAAAAAAAGCCACCCCCAAACAAATAATACAATAATATTGCATCCCTTTACGAGTAGTCCAAACCTCTCAGAGAATCCTGATGGCTTTAACAGCTTATTCAAGCCTTCGGACTTGGGTACGTTTCACACTTCCCACCTGCAGAATCTATGACACTTGCTACCTGCAGCAATCAGCCGTCATCCCAGGGTTCGCACAAGATGGTGATCCTCTACTCTTGCTGTGACGAAGACATGGGCTGAGCCTGAGCTGAACAGCAATTCCATGTGTACTTTAAGTGTGCTCTGCTGATTGCTGATATTCATACACCAAGATTTTTCAGCTGATTTTTTGTACAGAGAATACAGAGGATGCACAAAATTTTCCTTCCTGCTTACATTTCTCCATCTGAAGTAATTTTATAAAGCATACATTTACCCAGAGCCCCTATGTGGTAATGCCAGCAGTCTACTGTTCCAAAAAAAGAAATAAAAAAAAACCAAAACCAGAACAGCATGAAACAGTACAACAATTTTTGAAAAACCAAAAAAAGCAAGTCCTTGTTCTTTCCCAAAATGCTCTTGCACTAGCCTTTTTGCAACATATACTCCTCAGGCGTACAGCTGAAGGAAAAAGTAACAGGATAAAAGACACGCAAGTTTTCAGAAATGACACCTTAGGATTTCTAACTCTCGTACCCTACAGAGTACAGGCCAGTTGCAGTCCCTTAGGATTTGTTTGATGGAACTATTGCTAAGCAGAGAAAATACAGCCAACACATGTCCATTGCTAGAAAGCTCTGACAGATCTTACTGTAATGCAGGGCTTGAATATATACATATACAGATGTACACACCTGCATTAAAACTTACTGTAGTAGGTTCAAGGATTTTCAGCCTCACTACACTTACCCTAAATCATGGTTTGTTTTTCCAACGCCAGTGAAAAGTTCTCATTTTTATTAGAAAAGCGAGAGGGAATTTGTTGCAATTTATAGCTTCAAAAACATGACTGACTGGGACTCCTGGGGGAGAATGACACCTGCCTCAACAGTACAGATGAAAACAAGCAAAGCATCACGAGCACTCACTACCCTTCCACTACACAAACTGGAAAAAGCAGAACATACGTTTACAATCCAACAAAGATGGTTACCTGAATATTAAGTCATGGGCTGTTCTCAATATCATCCCCCATATTAAAATAGTTGCTTGGAATCCCAACATGAAATCACACCAGCTGCAGTCTTCGAAATAAATTGGAAAACATCCTTTACATTTGGCATATTGTTTGCTCCAAACCAGAACTACCAGCTAGGAAAAGGTGAAAATCCCTGACGTTGAAGAGTACAGCCCCCACAGGTAGCGTCCCTCTACTTTTCCCCTATCTTAGTTGCAACAGCAACCTTTCATTGCTTTCCTCCATTTCTTCTCCCAAGCTATTTCACAGCTGACTGCAAGAGCCACCACCGCTGCCTCGGTGACCTCCCCAAACAGGTCAGTACCATTTTGTTCTCAGGTTTTGAATCACAAACTTTACAGCAACTTAATAGCACAAAGTTTAGGTTTGTTGCCCAATTCTAAAGAAAACATGCTGATAGTGCAAAATACTCCTTGTTTTAGCCAGAAAAACACACTCGTCGTTTTTTAAGCCAGCATAAGCTGAACAACAAGCAAAAATGTATCACATAACAGAAAAAGCACTCTTAAGTAATTTGCGGAGTAATTTTAAGTGCTTTATTTTCAGAACATAGGGCATTGCCTTTCTACAGTAGAATTTTTTCCCCTGAAGTTCCACAGGTTTTTCAACTGTGATTACGGCTACCCCTCACTTCTGACAGAGGTTAAAAAACTACATACGACCTATTCTTGAGCGTATTCTGCATTTCTACACTGCTCAGAACTAACACTGCTTCCATAATAAAAATTACAACTTAAAGATCTTTTAATACCTTTTGAGTATCAGAGACCAAATCTATCCCACGAGAGGCCCTACCACATAAATTGCAACCAAGAAGCTTAAACATACATATATGAATTTCTCAAGTAAGTAGTCTGATAAATCCCTAAAGCTTCCTTATAATAAGAAATCCTGAAACAGTAAGTTTCTCTCTGTGGCACCCCATTTCTCTCTGTGGCACCCCATTTGCACTGTACAATGCTCCTCTTTGAAGCATCTTTCACCAATATAAGAAGCTACAACCTCTGCACACGTTCCATGAGATTTCTTTTGTGAGGATCAAAATTACTGGGAAAAACCAACACATAGAATCCTTGGTATTGTACTTTCCAATAGCACCTTTCAAAAAGGTGCTTCTACCACCTTCTTCCGCCCATCTTGCAACACCAATCATGAAAAACAGACCTCCAAAACAAGTATTTTTTTCCTTTTTTTTAAACAAAGGCAATAGGTTTACCTTATTAAAAACCCATTCACATATCCAGCACCAATACTGTCCAGTAGCAACACAGGCAACCAAACATTAGTTCTGTATATTAAAACTTTTATTTTCCACCAATTTTGAGTTTCAGACAGACTCTTGCACAGGTGGCTCATATCCATCAGCTCGCTCTACTTTGGTGCCTGCCTCATCCCCAGAAGGTTTTCCAGCACCACCACCTTCACCATGCAGTTCCATCAGCTTGCCCACTAAAAAGAAGTAGTATTGTAAATAGTGAGAGATACACCTATTTAAAACAGTTTTAAATTACTGAATTGCTCATCATACACAAATTAAACCACCAGAACATTTAATGTAGGTATGATCAAGTCTGTTCCAGAAAGCTCATGCAAGGAGATGCTGCTGCAATAACTGACAGAGTCAGTTAAATGAAATCGCAAATTAAACTTTTTATAAAAGAGGTAAGTCAAGAACCTACTACTGCATTACATGGGAATGTCAGAAAATGGGAAAATAGAATCATTCCATGTCATCTGGGACCGAAACATTTTGTCATCATTCATTCCCAAGCCAAAGCCTTTAAACATTTGGCAGCAGTTTCAGGCAAGAATTCAAAAAAGCTCCAGACTAATGATCACTTCTGTGTCAGACTAGGACAAGCCTTTTAACTACTATAGCTACTTAAGCTTATGATGCTGCTTTAACATCTTTATCCAAAAGCAGACACGTTTTGAAGTAATGGCTTCCCACATCATCCTCTAAGAACACTACATGTTTGCAGTAATCGACTCACATTCAAACTTGGGCTTCTTCAGCATCTTAACCTTGCGGACATAGACATCGTGAAGAGGGTAAATGGACTGACACGCCTTCTCTATGTCTTTGCCAATGCTGTCTGGGATCCTGAGAAATCAGAGAGCACATCAGTACCAGAATGTTAAAAATTATGCCTGCTTCTTCACCAGCAACACAGGCTTAAAATAATTCTTAGGAACACACAATATTCTGTGGAAGTTTGCATCATCAATACTACCCTCACGCTCTGACAATTTTCTTCAAGTATGTTTAGATTCCTTGCAATGTTAGAAGGGATAAAGTGTAAGTGTGCTCATTTTGAGAGCAAATCTGCAATGGAACTTTTGGAAGCGAACACCACACTTTGGAAAACTTCCTTCCGTCAGAAGAACCCAGAACATTCACAGCCCCAATTGATCAGAATTACAATTTTAGTCTGTAGAAACATGCATCAAAAATCCCTGGCAAGCCTGATTTTACATTTATGCAAACATGATGGTTGATGGAAGTCAAACACGGTGCAGAGACTAAGAGTATTCGAAGAAAATGGCACATTAGCTTTTCAACACGAGAGGCACCTTGCCTGGTCTCTGCCAAACAGTACGTGAAGCACCAGCATTCCCTAAGTACTCAGTAACAACTGACCAACAAACAACTATTTAAACTGTAGGGAAGAAAAACAAAAACACAGCCAAAGCTTACAGCTTATTGACAACTTCTTTCAGGTCATTGGTTTGGACCTCTCGGGTCATGATTTCCATCATCTTCTTGCGAATCTGTCGAACCTGCTGATGCTGGGCGTATGAGGTCTTGCGGATTTGGTTATTACGCTTCTTTGTAAAACCCACGCAGAAGAGGCGCAGTAGGTAACCATCAGTGGTTTTGACATCTACATGAGCTTCGATCATTGTCTAAAAAAGAAACGGTCATTTATCATCAACATGACAGACAGGTTTCTCAAAACCATGCACCTGACGTTCATTAATACCTGCTGATGCCACTTCAAACGTAGCTTTGCAATGCATCAGTGGTTACCTCCTTTACTAAAGGCACTAGCCACAACGCAGACCTTGTTCTTTACATACCTGCCATTTTTTGACCATGGAGCACATTTTATCCCGGGTGAGGTCCATTCCATGGAAGTTGGTCAGACAATTTTTGCCCTGAACATCCTCAGTTATCAGTTTAAATTTACGGAAGGCAACCTCATCATTCTGCAGATCAGCCAGACTCACTTCAAATACACGACCCTTCAGTCCATCAGAGGCAATTTCTGCATTATGAAACAAAATAAAACACCTTTTGTTAACATTAGAAAAATAATATTCAAATCACATACTGAACTTCCATTTGACGTTTTCTAATAGTAGGTGATGCCACTAGCTTCACAGCTCTGAAGTTTATATGTATCTTGAACAAGATCAAATCAACTCCTAGGACCAAATACTGTATTTGGTTAACTTTGTGAGGAATCTTTTTTAAAGAGAATTATATCAGATGCTGAACACAAACACCAGTATACTGCAGATTCCAGCACATATAATATTTTTCAAAAGTGGAAGGGGTTACAAAGTATTTGGAAATTATAAACAATAATGAAAAGATAAACATAAAAAGTCACATGGGCTCAGCTGAGATAAAGCAGTTACAAACACCTAAGCACAGTCATTTCACAGCTCTGCCTCTAACAACTAATCATTTTAACACTGGCTAACTCGTACTTGGTTTACAGTGACCCTTATTTTACTGGTTTCACATGTATACAGTTCAAAATAATTATGATCTTCGTAAGTGCAACCAGAATAGTATAATGCAACTATTTAGCCATCCTACACAGCTAACCTTCCAAAAATAGTTACCTCTATCCAGATCACCTGCATTCCTAACAGAGGCTTCTTTTACCTATATATATAGGAAAAACCTTTATATGAAAAAACCTTTACCATGCTATGGTAAAAAACCTTTATCGTTCAGTGATACATCATATAAAACCCCTTTACCATTCAGTGATACATCTACATACGTTCCCATTAAGTTAGCAATTCTAGCTCTCGGAGATCTCTCTTTACCTGAAAGTTTCAAATTTCAGTCCCTCCTAAGGCGATGGTCTTTATGATCCTAATATGACCACAGTCCCCTCATCTTCCTCTCTGATAATCAGAATGACTCCTTAATTCTTACCTTTCCTCAAATTCATGAGGTTACCACAACAGCAGTTCGTTAGAAGCTTCAGGCATGTCCCTCCGTATCACACCCACGGTTTGGTGCTTTTGTACAAACAAGGACCACACCGCATTAACTTCCCTGCAACTAAGCTCATGGGTTTAAACAACTCCATCAATTCAAGAAAACTCACTCAAATCAAGCAATTAAGTTAGAGGTGCCTTTTTTTTTCCCCTAACGTCCAGGTTCATAATATCATGAGCAAAAACTATTTGTCAGCAGTTCTTTAATTGAGTCTCAATTGGAGCTAGCACATGGAACAAATACATCTCCCTCTACTGCATAAAACCCCACTACTCACTAGTTCCTTGAGTCCTGGTGACAAGTGTCTTTCCGATGTTTCGGATATTAAACATTGCTGGTGCTTTGACATCATACCAGTCCTTTTTGGAGAAAGGATCAACCCTTAATTTAAAAAAAGCAGAAAAATTTTTTTTACTAGTTTTCTCAGATTCAACCAGGTTGAAATATGAGCTTCCTCCCCATATGTTTTGTGAAATGGAAATGCAAACATCAAAATTTTATTATCAAGTTTAACGTGGACAGGTTGGTAAGTATGTGAATGCAGACAGTTAATATAACCCGTTACAGCAAGGCAGGCATTCATTTCAATTTACTTCAGAAAGACGGAAACCAACTGCAGAAACCTCACACAGCTAAGATGACAAAAAACTATACAGCGCTACAGTTCCGGCTATGGCTCTGGAGCGATACAACCAGTGCGCTTTAGCTAACTTTTCCATGAAGACCCCATTTCATTTCATGACTTCTGCGGCTCAAACG